GCCCCGCCCCACAGCCGTCTACCCGGTTAGGCCCCGCCCCACAGCGTCTCCAGCCCGCGAGGTGAAGGAGCAAGGAGTGGGCGACGAGCCCCTGATTGGCCCACCCGCCCGCAGATCATTTGCTGGCCGAAGGGGCGGGCCCAGAGGCGCTGACGTCACGCAGGGAACACCTGGGGAGCAGCTGCCAGGCCGCGCAGAGCGCACCAGTGGGCACTGGGTTAAGATGCCAGGAAGTGCAGACCGTGGACCTCACACCCTGCCTCCCGGACCCCGACCCGCCATTTTTTTGACCACCTGGGCGGTGGCTGGGAGGCAGAGCGCAGAGCGAGAGTTGGTGAGGTTAAGGCGGGGAGGATGGCGGACCCTGCACCGCAGACCCCGCCTCCCGGACCCCGACCCGCCGCCGCTCTGTGCGACCCCGAGCGTGGCTGGAGCGTGTCCTTCGTGGGCTGCGGTTTCCTGGTCTTCTATCACATCGGGGCGACCCGCTGCCTGAGCGAGCGCGCCCCGCACCTCCTCCGCGATGCGCGCATGATCTTCGGTGCCTCTGCTGGGGCGCTGCACGGCGTCACCTTCCTCGCAGGTGTCCCTCTTGGTACGTCCAGGGCCGCCACCGGGCTCCTTGCCAGGAGGGGGCGCCCCCAGGCCTGGGCTGCGGGCAACTCCTAAGGTTGCGGGGTGCCCGGTGGATCCGAGTTTGGACTCGGAAACTGCAGGTGCATCCGGGGGACCACCACGCGTCCAAAATGGAAACCATCCCCACATGCCACAATATTTTGAATTTAATTTTTAAAAAATCAACTTGCAACAAATATTATAAAAATAACTATATTACTCACACCTCCTCGCCCCCTTCTGGAGCCGGGGCTTGAAGGAAGCCCCCATTCTCCACAACCTAGAGCTGCAGGCAGAAGGGAGCTTGTCCAAGGAGGAGCGGGTGGAGCTGATCCTTGAGGTCCCCTGGGGAGGCTCTGGGCCAGCTGAGCTGCCAACAGGAAGAGTTGATTCTCCCTGGGTCCCACCGACCCGGATGAGGGCTGTGGCCTGTGTCCCGGGGTGGGCACCTTCTTCCCTTCGGGGACTTAAGAGACTGGAGACAGCACCACAACTCCTCCCTGCTCCTGGCACCACTGGTGCAGCCCAGCCCTCCTGGGTGCAGACATCTCAGGCAGAAAGAGGGCCAGGGCTCCTGGAGACCAGCTGATCAGGCTTGGAGGAGGTTGGGGGGCCATGATGGGTAGGGTGAGTGCAGGAGAGTAGGAGAGCTATCTCCTCTCCTTCCCAGTGTTTCAGGCCCTTCCTCGGGGCTGGAGTGGCCCCTGGACCCCCCACACCATGCTCACCCTCCACACCCACTCAGGGCCGCAGGAAATGACAGCCCTTTAAGTTTTGTCGGGATTAACGTCTGTGCTTGTGGAAGCCAGTGGGAGGGAGGGGTGTGGGCTGGTGCCCAGCTGGCCTAAAGGACTGGGGTGCAGCCTCCTCGGCTTGGGGTTCCCCATCAGGGGGCAAAGCTGGGAGCAAGGGGCAGTGTGGAGCTGTTGACCCAAAGGCCCAGAAGGAAGAGGATGCCCCTCATCAGCCCGTTCCCCTGGGCTCCTTAGGGGCTTCCTCTTGGCTGCACCCAGGGCTGCAGGTGGGACGCAGCCAGCAGGGCTGCCTCTGCTCTGGTGACAGGAGTCTCCTGCCAGGAGGGCAGCCCTGCCATTGGAGGGACCTGGGCTGAGTGGGAGGTGGGGTTAGGGGGCCACCCTGCAGGGGGAGGGGAGCAAAGGGCAGGATGTGACCTCCAGGACGGCCAGTCCGCCCCCACCCACCCCCCGGGCTATAGCAGTGCTAAGCCAGTCCTTGTCCCCAAGGTGACCTGGAGCCACCCACGAGGTTGAACGTTTAACTGGGGCTGTGACCCCAGGACCCCAAAGAGGTGCAGAGCAGTGAGGGGTTCCCATAGGCCGAGCCTGGGGCTGTGCCCGCAGACAGGGTGAGGCAGGTGAGAGGTGGAGGCAGGTGACAGGTGAAGGCTGCTGAGAGGGGGAGGTAGGTGAGAGGGGAAGGTAGGTGAGAGGGGAGGCAGGTGAGAGGGGAGGCAGGTGAGAGGGGGAGGCAGATAAGAGGGGAGGCAGGTGAGAAGGGAGGCAGGTGAGAGGTGGAGGCAGGTGAGAGGGGGAGGCAGGTGAGAGGGGAGGCAGGTGAGAAGATAGGCAGGTGTGGGGGGAGGCAGGTGGGAGGTGGGTGCAGGTGGGAGGTGGAGGCAGGTGAGAGGGGGAGGAAAGTGAGAAGGGAGGCAGGTGCGAGGAGCAGACAGGCTTCCCGCCCTGGTGCTGGCCCTGTGTTCTCTGCCCCCTGGAGTCAGACCTCCCTGGCTCTGGCTCTGAGGGGAGTCGGGCGAGGAGAGCGCACCTGGGCCTCTGGAGGCTCGGTGCCACGGCCAGGCCGGGAGGGCACAGTGCAGCAGGAACAGTGCAGGCCGCGCTGTCTGTGCTTTTACGTTTCCCAGAGACAGGAAGCAAAGAGGAAGGCACA